AGACTTATTGTGCGATGGTCGCTGCATTTTGTAGCTTTTGTCTTTTTCTTTAAGGCAATCATTGTAACTTCTGTAAAGTCCTTGGGCCACTCTCCACTTTCATATATGGTGTTCATTAGTTTTGTCAGTGTTTTCAAACCACCTTCTCCCAGTAACTTGAGCACATCTCCAGGTACATCATCATCTCCTGTAGTCAGTGGAATATTGAATATAAAATCGTGGCCCTGATGGCTAAATTTAATTGGCATTGTCATTTTTGCAGGATTCATTTCATTTTATATCTTACAATTGAGGAGGAGAAAGTGCAGATGTTTGAACACATTAACATATGGATATGCCTGAAATAGAAAATTTTAATATTGTACCTCAGTGTAGCCATTACTGACAGCAATCTCTGTAAGACGGAATGTGCTGCAGTTAAATGCTGCTGTCTGCTGGCCACCAACAGAATCATGAGCACCATTATTAAAAACAATATGCTTCAAGTTTCTTGGACTCATCTGGCCTATTACTGACATTGCTCCCATGTGCATGATTACTGATGCATCTCCATCCAAGCAAAATACCTGGAACACATGCAGAATGTAGACTTCTGTTAAAATGCCACAGAAAACAACTACATGGATAGTGGACTCATTGTCTGGCAAGCTGGAGAATGGATGTCTGTCAGATTTGTGTCATTTAGATCTTGGGTCCTGTCTGGAAAGTTATATGATAGAATAGAAGAACAGCCTGAAGAAATTTAATGTAAAGTCTTATACACTGAAGATGGTGGCAGCAGGTTTCTCTAATCATTGGTACATATCCATCAATCTGTAGGGTGTTACAACCTAGAAGTCTCAGATCTTCACATCTACTGCCTTGAGGACTCCAAATTTCCTACATGAATGAACATTTCTGTATGAAAACATAAGTATATTAATAAATTTATCACAGTTATAAGTAATAGGGTATGATAGCAGCCTCCGTGATCTAGGCGTAATGTTCCCACCTCATGACTCAAGGTACGCGGGTTCAAACCTGGCGGAGGTTGTGGAATTTTTAAGGGCGGAAAAATTCAGGGAACAAGTCCTCCAGGAGGGACTTTAAGCCGTGGGTCCCGTGTCATAGATTTACGGCACATAAAAGATCCTCATGTCTCTAGGAGACCTCTGAGCAAAATTAGGCAAAATGTTTCCCACCCAAGTAGTTTCCAATGCCTCTGGTAGATGAGGAAGTTATCAGGTACCACTGCCAGTAGAGGGCCGACCTCACTGGCAGAAAGGGGTGATAAAGGGCACCAGTATCGGTAGGGTATGGCGACAGTAGAAATTAAAGGGGGACATACAATAGACTATTAGTCGTGGTGCATGGAGATACCCACCCCCTCTATACTGAACTGAATAGGGCATGACGGATTACTATATTATTTAATGGATCTGTTTCAACTGCAGACGTTATATGGCACTCAGATGAGAAGATGATCATGAAAGGATATGTTCCTTGACAGAAGGAAGAAACCATGAATAACTTCAGAAAGGATAGATGATGAACTGGACAGAGTTTAAGCAGAGTACCTCCTACTAAATTCAGGTCTAGAATGTTGCTATTACACCATAATTCTTTGTGGTAAGCACTAAGTATAGACATAACCTGAGCCATTGAACATGCATATAAATACATTGTATACTGATATTCAAGTTTTCTCATTCAAAATATCAGACCACAGACCTCACAGCTTTTAGTAGGTATTACTGGTAAGTTATGTTTAAAAATTGCTGTGTTCATTGAACTTCTCTCTATATCATGCAGAATTCTACTCATTTATCTGGATGAATGTTGTGATCAGTCTTCATGTGTGTTAATAACCACATACTTGTCGTTTAGGTTTATTCAGTGCTATTCCCAGAGCAATAGTAGATGCATGTCCCATAGATCCAACTGTAAGAAAATCCCTTTCATGCCCTTGCTCTCGAGCTACTCGATGCTCAAATAGCTCTCGAGAAAGCATTCCTGTTGTGCTGACAACTATATCACTGTCATGAAGTGAGTCTACAACTATCTTTAGGGCCATTTCTCTTGACATTGGATACCTGTGAATTAAAAAAAAAGAACATCTCTCCTGTAAAATGTTACAATGTAAAAATATAATAAACATCATGTTCTCCATAATGCAGAGCACTAGGTAAAAATCTAGAAAAGATCTGTGGTTATGAAAAATTTAGAACAAAATGCAGAAAAAATAAAATTGACATTGATATGGGACACAGGACACTCTGTAAGTGGTAATATAAAAATCCAGCTACATATCATACATTTAAGTTCATGATCTGTGATTTGATGATGACAGGTCTAACTTAACAGAACAAAGAAAGCAGGATACATGAATACAGAAGCAAAAGGCACAATAAATGAAACTTGAAAAATACAATATGGTCCAGAGTAACATATATGGAACGTGAGGATCACTGCCATGTTCACAAGATCTGCCACTGGTCCCTATCCTCAGTGAGATCAATCCAGTCCATACCACCCCATTCTATTTCTTAATATTATCCTCCAACCTGCATCTAGGTATTCCTGGTGGCTGTGTAAAAATACAATACACAGGAAAATTTACTGTTCATAATTCTGGACCATACTATGGGTACCAGGATTTTGGCGTTCCTGTTGAGCTGTGCAGCATCACATCCCAAGGAGGCTTCTCTTGAATTTACACTTGTGTTACAGATTCTTAGCATGATCTTTCATACATGGGCAAATAGCTTTGAAAGCTGATGTGCACACCTATAGCCCTAACCACATATACAACAGAAATGAAGTATGCATATTTTCCAAATGAATTATTTGTTATTTTACATGCTACACTGTTCTTCATGCTTATATGTTGCAGCTACAAATATGCTGTTTGCTAAATCAAACATTATTTTTCTTTGTATTCCATTAAGTATTCACCTTGAAAATATTTGAGCAGCTTGTCTCTGGTCCAAGATTTAAAACCCAGACCTCTCAAACATGAAGTAGGAGTGCTAATGGATGGACTACAACATTTATTTCTAAGATTATAAGGTACTTACTCTGAAGTAGGTCTTCCAAATTTATATGGTAAAAATGTTTGCCTCTTAACTAAAAGTGCATAAGGGCTGCTATGGTTTTTCATGTAAAGTTTTGCTGCATTTAGAGTCTTCTTAGCCCCTTCAATATAATCAGGCAATGGTGAAAATGGGATCCCTAGTGTGTCTAAGAGACACCAAGATATTACATATATTGTCAGTATTGCAATACACAGGAAAGTTCAACAAAACAAAAGACAAATATTTCCAGGAAATGAAAAGTTATGAAAAATTACAAATCCAAAGGTTGTGACAAAGAAAGTTATATGATTATAATAGCTTGTATGTTGGGTATTTTACATCATTATATTTTTGATTGAAAAACAACATTTTGGAAGCTGGTTCTGTTTCCATCATCAGGTAAAATTATGAAAACTTTCTGTTCGGTCATTAGATGGAGCTAACCTCCATTTCCAGATAACAACAATAGTTCAAGTCAGATTAAAATGTAAATATGATTACCTGCAGAGCCATCTTCTGAAACATTGCTTTTAACCAGAAACAAGATGGTGGAAAATGACAACATATGTCTCAGTTTAAACTAAAAGCCCTATTTTCCAAAGAAATAAGATTAGTATTCTGTAATATTTTCAGGTCTCTGGTCTGATGAATTCAACAAAATTTTAATTGGGCTATGTGCTTGCAAGAGAACCAAAACTGTTATTTTTCAGACAGATGGACAGACATACTTTAGCAAATATGTAATTTCTTCTATGCTTACAAGTTAATATGTACTGAAGATTATGGTCTTTTGGGATGTGGTACCATATCAGACTACATGATGTCACAACCCACAAAATCGAAATCTTAATATTCACTGCCATGTGAAGCATAAATATGACATAATGCTTACTCATTTTCAACAGGAATACTGTGCACACAATTACATTTCACAGAGTTTGATAAATATCATATCTCCTCAGATAATAAAAAGTCATCTGTTGTATGGTGCACCCTTGATTTGGTAATATGTTTTTTGTGAAAAAGAAAAGACACTATTAACTGTAATTTTTGAAACGCAGAAATGAGCATAGGTGCAACAATGAACATTGACTGAGCTCCCTTCATTGCAGATACCAGTTAATATTATATTTGGTACATACAGCCTTCAAGGCCCCATTAATTCCTTTATACATTATCACACATTACAACATTTTTAACAATTGAAACACAGAGAAATAATTTCAAAATCTCATATGTTGCTGTCTTTGTGTTTACTGTTGGGTGACTAGTGTTATGGACATGAAGATCTTCCTCGCACTTTAGTCATACAATATAGATTTTCACCATTGATTAGGCACCATCAAATGTAAGGTGGACCCCAAGTTCAGAAATTTTAAAATGTCAAAAAAGTTCACCTTGGAATTGAGGAAAAGCAGTAATTTTGTATTTAAAGACGTTATACTGGAGTAATGACTCTGGTGTAGGAATGATCAGGAATGTAATTATATGTACTTGCCCAGTAGTTGAGATGTAATTTGTCCCTGAAGCATGTGTTGGGGTTCATCACGCTTTCCTGGCTCGCCTCTCCAGCCAATCAGCAGCAGCATAGGCACTGAGTACACTTCTTGGGCAGCAAGTGACACAAGTGGATTCACAGTGTTACCCAATCCAGAGTTCTGGACAAATAAGCCATATTTGTATTCAGGGTATACGTCATTTGAATTCTGGTTTGAGCACCAACTAACTTGATTGACTTTCCTTATTTTGTAAGAAAGGTTTATGCTGTCATCATGTGCTGTGTCCACCCATGATAATGGATTTCCATGCCACTAAAGTTCACTCCATTCTTGTGTATTTTTTAAATTCCTACCATCAAGAATACCAGCACAGCAACTATAAGAATTTGTGAGGTAGGAGTGACATTGAATCACAATTCAATATAGGGTCCTACAATCTTGTGTGGTAATAAACATGGTAATGAACTTTCAGGACCCATAAAAGGCAGAAAATTTCTCAATTATTTGAGTGGCTATTAATTGCTCAGGAAGGACTTTCCTCCACAGAATCAGTTACTACATTTCAGAGAAACACACACAATATTTATTATGGAAATTCCATTGTGCAGTGTAACATCATGATGGCTGCTTTAGGTTTGGTTTGACAATGGTAACGAAAGAATCAATGTATTCCAGGCTGTGAAACAGCCTGTAACTGCCTTCTTGTATAACCTGTTTTTTTGTCCTACTCTACTTACCTGGAAGTCTTCCTCTCCATTCCTGCCCTCTATCTGCTGGTCAGACTAGCTAACAGTGAAGAGTGTTGGGGATGTTCATTCATGGTTTTTAGTCCTTCGGGGTTGGACACTAGTTGTGATTTGGAGGCCTTGGTGGTTTGGAACCCTTCATAACAAGGCTTTAATGATGCAATAGCTTGCATTATTGAGAGACCACAGTAGCCACTGGTCCTGAGCATGTGGACAGCTACTTGGATCTGCTATAGTCTGGGACTGTGAGGTGGGTCATATACAAATTAAAATTATGTTTTCTTATGTTGATTTTAAATTTATCTTTTGGCCCTTTTCTGACTGTTTTACTCTCCTTCAGTGTATCCTGTGGTTTTCATTCTTTTTTTTTGCCTACTTTCCTTATATTGAAAAAATAAAAGTAGGCTAACGAGGTTACCTTGCTGTCTGTGTGCCTGTGAATCCCCCTATTAACTTCTGAATCCCTGAACCAATCTTTATGAAACTCGTTATGTACATCATGACACCTGAGCCCATCTCAATGGCATAATTCATCCTCCCATCAGTCTGTATGTCTGCATGTATAACCCCCTATCATTGCTAGGCAACAGCTTGGTAAAACCATTAATGTGGAAATAATAGAATGCAACACATGCAACAATAGAAGAATTGCTGGACACATCATTATCTGTTTGGTGTCATATCAAAGGAAAGTAGATGATTAGTTCTTCCCAGAACTTCTTGTTTGGCTAACTTTACCCATTGGTCTATGTATTTTTTATTATTACTTTGTTATTGTTTCATTTAACTTTATTATTGATCTTAGCATTGCTGTTTTTTAATTAAGCATATGAACTAGGATCACACCAAGAGAACTGGTCACTATTGTAATGCTAGGGCATATGGCATTTATTATAGCCTCATTATAGTTTTGCATTTGTTTGTTTCTTTATTGGGGGCACACAGTAGCGTAGTTGGTTCTGTGAATTAGCTACAAGCCAGAAGGTCGCGGGGTCAAGCCCCGATGAGGTCACTGGATTTTTTCCAATTGACCTAATCCTTCCAGCCACACTGTGGCCCTGGGGTCGACTCAGCCTCTAACAGAAATGAGTACCAGGAATATTCTTGGAATATTCTTGGGGGTAAAGGGCAGCCAGCACATAGGGCTGACAACCTTGCTGCTATCTATGAGCTGACTGTCTAGAAAATGTGGGAACCTCAACATCTCACAACCCTATGGGCCTCCACAGCCTGCTTACAGGGATACCTTTACTTTTTACTTACTTTTTATTTCTTTATTACATATTCATTGAATTCTGTTATGCCTCTGTCACTGATTTATTTACTATTATTTAAATCTTAACAGGGCATAATCCCAAGTGGCAAATAATAATTCATACCAGAATCATACCCTGTATGCTTGTTGCCTCATTAATTATGAAAATTTTACAAGTCATAAAGGTTGTATCAATGATCTAGTGGCATTTGAGGACACGAGAATTTGTACATGAAATGTTAGGAGTCCATTGAAGACAGTTTTTTGAGGGAAAATGGTTACAGAGGTAAATAAAGTACTAGTTAGAGAAGGATTATGGGAAGTTACATAGCCTAATGAGGGTAGACACAAACAGGATGGGGACTTCATGTAGCTAGGATGGTGGAAACAAAGAAATACCTATACATATACAGAAACATCATGGGAAGTAGTCACTTGGAACATTGAAACAATGATCTCAGGGAAATAGGTAGTAAGAAAAGCAAGCAACTGAAACTGATTTGGGACTATGTCCAGTTGCACTGTCCAAGAGTGAGCTACTTTAGTAGTTAAATAAGAAAGGAGGTACTTATCCTGAAATTGGATTTTGGAAACAGAGAAAAGTCATGGAGAATATACAAGATAACCATATCTGAATTTCAGTGAAATTCAAACTCCCTTTTATCAACCAATGCTAGAAGTATGTTTGACACTTGCAGGAAAAGTTGAATCCATAATCTGTGCTTTATGTTTCTTTGGGAGTTCACAAATGCTCTAATTCTTGCAGTTTCTCTTATTACAGAATTCCTACTTATAATATATTTGCAATTACTGTAATAATTATCGAAAAAGTGGTGACTGAAAGTCTAATGTCTATTGCAAGACAGTGTTCTGTCATGCATATGGTAAAAAATAGCAGCGTATATGCTGAAATATAAGCAATGAGTATAAAAAACCAAGAATCTTAGAACTGTTTGTGTTTTGTTGACCAGAGGTTTCTACCTGTACATAACATGTGGAAAGATTAAAATGTACAAAAGTATATTCTTACCTGTTGCTCTGTTTGGATCTGAAACTTGGTCTCTCAACCTAAAGGAAGAACATAAATTGAGGGTGTTTGAGAACAAAGCAGCAAGGAGAATATTTGGCTGTAAGAGACAGGAGGTAAGAGAAGGCTGGAGAAAATGGCATAACTTTTACTATCTGCAAAATATTATTAAGCAGGCATAACTAAGGAGAATAAGACTGGAGAGACATGTAACATGCAAGGTGAGAGAAGAAATGCATACAAAATTGTAGTCAGAAAATCTGAAAAGAAAAGACAATGTGGGAAAGCTACACAGAGATGATATAAAAATATAGAAACAAATCTTAAAAGAGTAGCCATAGTAAGTAATACAACATTTACCTTTCATCTAAATTACATGTATGAATGATCAACTTGGCACTACAGCCCCAGTGAGCCTAGGCCTACCTCCATGAACTTCCCCAACTTCGGTTTTTCTAGATCTTAGACATACGGTAGGACTCCTTGGGCGGGTGATCAGCTCGTCGCAAGGCCTCTATCTGTACACAAACAGAAAAACGCACACAAACATCCATGCCCTGAGTGGGATTCGAACCCACGATCCCGGCTTCCGAGCGAGCGAAGACAGTGCCCACCTTAGACCGATCAGCTACCGTGACCGACCAACTCTATTTTAGGTATTAAAAATATTAAAAATTAAATTTATTTTATTACTCTTCAGAGGAAATGGATCAAACAACTGTTATCACTGAAAGATACAATAACTGAATATGATTCTGTGATTATTGTGGCATGTAGTCCCATTACTAGGCAATGACCATGAAACAAGCAACAGTATAACAATCACTGCTAAGTAATGGCTCAGCAAACAAGCACGTTTCCACGGAAGTGAGAGAACACAGCAATAATGGAAGAGACATTTTCTATGCGGCCTCTACTGAGGTGTTAAAACCATGGCCAGTTAGCATTTGCAGTCACCCCCATGTGAAGGTGGGTTCAAATACCTCAACCGTAGCCCTGCGAGTTGTAGAAGGTGATGAAAATTGAACCCAGTGCCTGAGGGTATAACTTGGCCACCCTTTTACTGGGGATATAATGAATGAATGAATGTATAAGGGGTGGGCCTTCTTGGCCCTTGCACCATGACCACAGTGATCTATTGTGCCTCCCCTTCTGATTATCCCCTCAACAATCCTGCGCTTCGAATCAAGTGCAAGATTTTGTATGTGGGGACGTCAAAAGAGTCACTTGGTTCCATAAAATATTAACCCAAGTGACACAATCTTAAATAAGCTGAGGCCTCACATTCACACAGGATATGTGTAGCTGTTTCATTTTCTTCTTGACACCGCCTACAAGTTGGACTATTACTTAGTCCCAGTTTGAAGAGGTGTCCTTTGAGGTGACAGGATCCTGTAAGTAGTCCTACCACCCATCACAAATGGTTCCTGCTTAACTTCAACAGTTCCTTCGTTCTTTTAGTAGAGGGTCCTCGTATGAGTCCCTTTGCTTGCCTGAGTCCAGTCAAGTATCCTACTGGGGATACAAATATGGGGACGTGGCCCCCCAGGTTGGGGGACCCTTGAATCTGAGACAGTAGAATATGGTCCTGATTCCCGCAGGACTCAGACCCTAGAATGACTGCACTGGCAAAGGCCAGCATCATTTGTAAATGACAGACCTGTCCTCTCATCAGAAAGGGCTCCCCACATTAAGAAACCTGAAAATTTCTGACAGTAATAAAAATCTGGTCTTGGGCCCCAGATGGGTACTTGACACCAAGGCATACTGCCTGACTGACTGTCGATCATAACATAACTTTGACTCTTACTTGCAGTCAAAGCCCAGACTGGTCTCATGCAGTGTTATAACTGCAACAATTGGGCCATGTCTGGGCTTACTGCAAGCAACCTCCCCACTGGATGTGGTGTCAGGGCAGTCGCCTGCACAAGGAATGCCCAGAAAAGGGCAATACAGTTGGTGGATGAAGAGGAACCTCATCTCTCCAACTATTGATGCTGTAGGCATGCCAAGGAAGAGATGTGAAAAGGAAGTTGCAGAAAGCACCAAAGACTGCAACCACACCACCCCAGGACTACCCTTCACGGTGGTGCTATGCAGCAACACACAGCAACAGCAGCAGCCTCAGCTGCCCTGACTGACATAGTGGGAGAAATGAGTGCCACCCCTCCCTTGAGGCATGCCCAACAAGTTACAATTCAGTCAGTTCAGGCTCCTAATGAAAACAGTTCATCTCTGAACAAGTTTGAAGTAGTTACAATAATATTTCAGCAGATCATGACACAGCTCAATGGGGCTGAGTCACAAGACAGAATAATGGCCATCACAAAAATTGTATTAAAACTCATGAAGCAAATAGGTCATTAGATTTTGTAGGCGGTAAATATGACTGTGCGGGCCAGCAGCAATTGTAAATGACAGACCTGTCCTCCTGTCAGAGATGGTGCCCATATGAACAAACCCACAAATGTGTGACAGTAACAAAAATCTGGTCTTGGGCCCAGACATGACTTGCCACCAAGACAGACCAATCGACTGACTGTTGGTCATAACATGACTTTGACTTTGAGTCGCAGTCAGTTAGAGAACTGCTGGGGTTCAGTCGCTGTGAGCTGTTGCTGTTAGAAGCTAGTAGCTGAGGCTGGGGACAGCTCAGGAACCCTGAGGAAGGGGGAACATCCAACACTGAAAGCCACTACCAAGCAACGGCAGTGAAGATGTGACTTTGGACACTAGCATGTGTGTATCATAGTGAACTGTAATTTGTGTGGTCATGCGTTGTATCGAACTGTCCAATAAATCCAATTACCAATCCAAATCCAATCTATAGTCACTCTATCATGTGACAATATTAATCACTGTACTTGACTTTGAAACACAAATCTAGATGTTAAAATATATAGCTCACTAATTGAGAACAGTTTCAAATGCTACATATGAAGCAGTTCTAAACAAATGAGATTGAAGTTACCTGAAGATAAACAAGGCTGATCTTTCCTGTTGCGAGGTGATACCCAGTTGCTAAACCAATAGCACTGCCCTCATTTGCTGTAATTATGTGATGGGTTTCCTTCTCATTAGAAGCAACATATGCACAGAAATCTGTAAACCAATTTAAAAGTTGTATGTAAAATACTGTAGGCATAATGATAAGATTGGAAATGCATGATTAGCAGGAGTGTGAATTAGTCTTCTGCTGTATGCAATTAAAGTAAAACATTCTATATGCTAATGTACCTTGTTTGAACATTCTTAGAGTGCTTGCCAATTAACTCTGTCACAATGTAGAAGATGAAAACTGATTGACTGATGATGATGCACAGTGTAATACCACCATTCACACAGTTAACATGTTGTCAATGCTTTTAAACTGCTGTGTTGTGAGAAACAATACAGATACCAAATAATGGCATCAAAATGAAGACTAAGAGAGGTCCATTTTGTCCCTCAAACAGGAAATACCCCCCCCCCCCACACACACACACTACTTACACACACAAAACTAAATTTTTAATCCATGGTGTCTAAACATTTCTTTATGACCATTGTTGGTTAGCACAGAATACATAATTGTTTTCTTTCTTTTTGAATGAGATAATGTGCATGTACTAGAAGGGGGATAGCTCAATCAACATAATGACTGCTGAGGTTCCATTACTGGCAGGGGAAAGAGATTTTTCTCCCCTCCACAGCATTCAGACTGGCACTGGGGTCCATTAAGCCTCTCATAAAATGGGTTCCAGTGGCTTTTTCTTTTACCAGGGCTAAAGCGGTAGGGGCATGAAGTTTACCACTCACCTCCATGTGGTACCAAAGTCAAGAATGGTAGAGCTATGCCTCCACTCCCCCATACATCTTCATGGCATGGTGCTTAATAAATTAAACACAGGAACAATTTTTCCTTTACCTTTAATGCCCATGTAGTTAGTTATTAGTTATTTAGAGAGGGTGGGTTTCCCCGTGCACCGCGACCAGTTTGATCTATTGTGCTTCCCTCTATGATATTCTACCAGTCTCTATACCCTACCGATAAATGGTGCGTACCATCAGTCCCGCCGAGCAAGCGAATTCGGCCACTTGCTAAGCGGTATCTGTAATGCTTCCCCCATCTATCAGAGGCCTTAGAGACTATTGTTGGGCAACGTCCTGGAATTTGGCTCAGCAATCCCCTTTGGGGATACGAGGTTCTTTTACGTGCCGTAAAGTTACAACACGGGACACACAGCTTAAAGTCCCTCCCGGAGGACTTGTTCCCTGAATTTTTCCGCCCTTAAAAATTCGACGACCTCCGCCGGGTATTTGAACCCGCGTACCACGAGTCATGAGGTGGGAACGTTACCTCTAGACTACGGAGGCAGCTTAATGCCCATGTATAGTGCAGAACAGTTATCTAACCCATATAACAACAACAATAA